TAAAGCATAATCAATTTTAATGTTTGTGTTTTACACTCCAGAGATTGTTTTCTGGTGTATCCAATTTGTTGTTTTTCCACATGTTGTGTGAGGCTAGTCTGTAAGTTTATTTTTCAGGATTTGCTAGGTCACAGTTGGATAAGGATTTATATTATTTGCCTCATTTCCAACTGATAACACATCATTGATATATGGAATTGTTTTTCTTTGGTTTGTAATCTTGATGTAGGAGCAGATCCGTGACAATGGTTTTTAAAAGCATTCTTCATCTCTGGTTGAGAACAGGATGATATAAAATCATCATAGGACGATACAAAATTGGGTGTCAGACCCTAACCCTAACCCTCAGAGACAGAAATACAGCTTGAAACAAGTGACAGAAAAGAATGAAATTTGACAAACGTGAAGTTCTTCATTTAGGAAACAAGAATTAAATGCACAGGTATAGGATGCAGGATGCCTCACTTAGTCATAGTAACTGATCATGCTTGGCGCAGTTACAGTTAACATTGATAAAATCCCAACAGTTTTCTTATTCTTGAGCACAAGCTTTGTTTGTTTGGACCGGGATCCAAGGGAAATGCAGCCAGCTACTGTGACTGGCGCAGCCCTTTCCCACTCAGAGCCAATGTGAGAATTGACAGCCCCAGAGGAAGCTGGTTCTTGCCCAGGTACAGCCAGCACCAGTAGGCTGGCTCAGCCCCCCTGGCATCAGAGCTCCCCAAAGGCCACGCAAGGCCACAGTCCTCTTCGGGAACAGGGCCATGCATGCCTCTGCCTACGAGAGGAAAAGTCAAGGATGAGGCTCAGGCACAAGGCTTTTCATTGCAGCTACAAAAGGAGCTCTTAAATGGTGACGCTCAGCTACCATTGGATGCTAAGAGTCTTAGCCATACTGTAGTTGTATGTCAGCTCCAAGCTTTAGGCTCTGCATCTCTTTCTCCCACCTTTACGTGGCACAAATTTCTTGCTACCCATTTCTCAGCCCTGGATGTGGAAGGCAGCTGAACGGGGTTTTGAGAATGATCTGGTTTGGTCTGGTCTCCGATTGGATTGTCTGCCTTGCACATGGCGGGAGGGTCAAAGGGGAGAGCTGAGAGGGGACCTGATTATATCCTGAGCACCCCCAGGGCTTCCATGGTGGTGATTCTCTGCATGCCAGAATAATTCATTTTCAGAGAACCTGTCGATTTTTAATGGAATGAGCTGGGGTGGCTTGGCAGTGTTTACTTCCAAAGCAATTGTCCTAGCAAATTGAAGCAATGTGTCTTAATAATTGGCAGGGTGATGATGGCACTTTTTCAAGAGGCTTCCTTTGCCTTGATTTGATTCACAGTGGAAAATGATCCTGGCAGGAAGTTCTACCATTCTGGTTTATTATAATAAATCTGTAGGCCATGGCAACTGGTTTAAAATGCCAGAGAAGACCTGGGAGGAGAGCCATCGGCTGGCTTGCCCTGCAGCTGAGTGCCACCCTCTGCTTGCCCAACACGTCGCCTAGCCTCTGTTCTGCACCCAGCAGCTGGATTGCACCTTCATTCATCTTGATCCCAGCTGGCCTGCCAGCCAAAGGACAGGTTCATTTATTGGGATGGCCAGTGGCATTTTCTTCCTCGTTGTCCCAGGCAGGTGCAAAGGAGCAGACGTGGATGAAGGGAACATTGCCTGAGCCCTTTCCCCTCCCCTCCAGCCCCAGTTCAAAATGCTGTTATTAGACATGGAGAGAAAAAGTCGTTGCAGTCACTCCAGTTTCCTGAGCACCAGTTTGGGGGACATAGTTCTAGCCTGGGTTGGGTCACTGAAGGCTTTGCAGCCTTTGGGATTATTCACCAGTGTGCGGGATGAGCTTAGTCGAGGCCATGTCCCAAAGTCCCACTCATTTCTAGGGTTTGGCCAGGAGTCCAACATGCCTTCATAGCCAACTCTTGTCCTTTTCTATGATTGTCTTCACCCCTGAGTCTTGAAGACATTGTTTCCAGCCCAAGAGAAGGAGGAAGGCAGGGGAAGAAAGCCTGCCTGCTTCTCCAGTTCCTGGTCATACTTCTCTATGCTGTTAGAAGTGGCTGGCTGGTCTTTGGCCAGTTTGTGAAGGCAGTCCGGAGTTCTGGCCCAGTAGGCTCAAGCAACTGACCGAGGTCAAATATTAGGCACAAGATTAACCCAAGAGGTCATCCAGACCAGCCCCAAATCCATGACAGTCTGTACTCACAACAACCACATCTATCTGTCTCTCTGTATTTGAAGCTGTTGGTATCTTCCAGGCAGGGAGGGTTGAAGTCAAGGAATTAGGGCAAAGAGAAAAACAAAATATTAATTTACAAGGCTATGCACACTTCAACAGTAGTTTTGAAGTATTAAGCATTCAAGCACGGAACCTCTCTGCTGTTCATTATTTACTTATTCAATTTATATGGCTGCCAGCTCATGAATGACTCTGAGCATCTAACAAGGTTAGAAATGTCACAGCTTAAAAGCAATAATAAAAGGATAAAATGTACAGCATGTCAGGAACAAAACACCATATGGTTGCAGTGGACTTATATGTCATCGTGCCCAGTACCTGAGGGAAGAATCAACTCTTTAAGGCCTTCTTAGACCCAACAGGGGTAGGGACAGCTGAATCTTGGGGGGAAGCTTTTCCACAGGCAGGCACTGGGACAGAGAAGTTGTGCCTTCTGGGTCCCATCAGGTGACCCTGTTTAGTTGATGGGACCCAAAGCCTGGCAATCCTATTGGATCTTGTAGGATGGGCAGAGACGATTAAAGTAGCCACATGCTTTTTGCAACAAAAGCTGCAGAAAAGACATAGCTACTTTAATGTATAACAGGTCTTGCATGTGCTTCATTTAACAGCACAAAAGGGCAGGGACTGACAGTCGGTATATCTGCTGTAGGAGGAATAGGCAACTGCTTCCTGGTTGTGGGACAGAGTGCTGGACCATAGAGCCTTCCCAATGCCATTGCTGGAAGGGCTGAAAATGTTCATCCTTTTTTCACTTGTTTGGGAGGAATTAAGAGTGAAAATGGAGGTTTTGCTCATGGAGGCCTTGTGTTTGCATTCCCAACTTTTGCTAAATTTCAAAAGCAAGTGAAAAGTGTCCTGCCAAAATTGGCCATATTGCCACCTGATTTCAGGGGTACTTCAGGGGCTGCTGAAGGGGTACACGGGGGCCTCGCCTGAGCTGTGGTTGCTCATACCTCATCTGTGAGCATGTCTTGATTTATTGGTAGGTGAAGGATCTGATCCCTGGCCTTTCTCAGCTGCAGGCCTCCTTGGGAAATCTCAGTTTAGCCACCCTTCTGAGAAGGCACTCTCAGAGGGTGGTTGTGAGACAAAGGCCTCTGAAGGGCAGAAGATAAACAGGGACCTTTAGATAATCTCTAAGGGGCTTGCAAGACCACACAGATTATTACTGCACCTGTCTGCCACAGCATGAGTTCCACGTGGTTGGCCAGTGTGGGGAAGGGCTCTCCATGCATCACCTCCTCCAGGCCAAAGGAACTAAATCAGGCCAGCTAAGCAGGAGCAACATTCATATGTCTCAGAAAGCCTGTGCCTACATGAACTAAATGCCTAGAAAGCAGGGCACCGATTCCACAGCAAGGGTCAGTGAAGGGACAGCCACTGCATCTGTGCAAAGGAGAAAAATAGGTGCCTCCTGGTGTTGCTGCAACACCCTGATTCATGGCAGACTCCTTCCCAGTTTGCCCAGTGAAAGATAATTAAGCTGAACCATTTCTACAGTCTGACCAGGTAGAGAGTCCTTAGCTCTCTCCCTCTGGCCCAGCACCAGGAAAATAGGAAGAAAGCCTAGAACTAGGAAATATAGACCTTGATAAATCTCACGCTAGTCCTGGAACACAAAGGATAGCAATGAAAGTTGAAGACTTAATGAGAAATTGCTTTGTTAAACTAATAGTTCCAGTTCTCCAGATCAGGGGTTCTTGAGCTGTGGGTCAGGTCACAGGTGTGTGTGTGTGTATGCGTGTGAGTGGGTGGGGGGCTCACAACTTTAAAAAAAAACTGATTAGCTCAGGCAAGGTAGAAGTATAATCAAAACTTGCTCAGGGCTTTGCCTGCATAAGCCCAGCGTGGGCAGTCCCATTACAAAGTTTGACAGTCCTTGTGAAATAAACATTCAGTTATTAAAAGTAACTGCAATAGTTATTTATTACACAACCTTGACACCAGTGAAATCATTTGTTTTATTTGTGGGGAAAAGGTGTCATACAAATTCGTTTATCATTTTGGGGGTCGTGGTATTGCAAACTATTACTCAAGTTACAGAATAGTGAAGAAAAGGGGAAAACACACACACATCGAGAAAAGGCAACTCTCATACAAAATGTCAAAGCAAATCAATACAGCAGCCTACCTAAACAAATTGCTCATTACCTCTTTGAAAAAGATCTACAGTCTTCTGGAGTGGATGGCTAATAATAAATTTAATAAATCATCATCATCATCTTGGATCTCAGCACATGTTCAGAGTCCATCACAGAGGATGGTTGGAGAGAGATCATCTGAGTCTCCTGCTTGGATGTCATTAGGCAGGATCCAGGCTCTCCCTGCTTCTTCTACTCAGATTAATTTTCATCAGTTGTGCCACTGTATAAAAAGGATTATATGGGAAAGCCTGAATTCCATTGGTGGGGACTTCTCAGCATCAGGCCAGTGTTGTCCACACTCAGGAGATGCTCTTGGGCAAGACACAGGTCAAGTGGTGGGTGTTCCTATCTGTTCATTCAGTTCAGAAGTATGGGGCCTGGGGAAGGGATTGGGTTATTCTCCAAAATGAAATCTGTATCTCTTTCCACTTGTTCTTGCTTGATCATGAGTAATGTACACTCCGATTATGACTGCTTTCAAACCTGCTCAGCTTCCTCCTTGGGGAATGGGTAGGTAGTGGAAGCCTGGGGCCTTGAGCTTATGCGTATGGATCAGACAGAATCCCAGAACCATACGCCTCTTTTACACCTCTTTTGTCTTGCTCCAGGTGATGCTTTCAGAAAGGAAAGGAACGGATGAACTTTATGCCATAAAGATTCTGAAGAAGGATGTGGTTATCCAAGATGATGATGTGGAATGCACCATGGTGGAGAAGCGAGTGCTGGCACTGGCTGGAAAGCCCCCCTTCCTCACACAGCTTCATTCTTGCTTCCAAACCATGGTAAGCTCCCCCACAACCTTCCATCCTGAATCCTGCAATAGTTCCTCAACCGAGTTGAGGAGAATCTTGTCCCTTGAGTGCATTTCTTGCACAAGAAATTTGACCTGGATGCGCACAGTTGCCTTGCGTAGGGCATAAAGACAAAAGAAGTCATTGGCAGAAAAGAGAGTCATATGAGCCAAGATGCCAAGCTCTGGAGATTGGACAGCTAAGGGTGTTCAGCAGTTTTAGGATGGACACAGAAGAAGCAGCAATCTTAAGCAGGGACAGAAGGACTAACAGGAAAGAGAGAAAAGAAAGAGTAGGAGGTCCTGGAGAACCATTCACAGAGAAACCTTGGTAGAAGAAGCGGCATGTTTCCTGGCCAAAAGGAAGGGGATAACTGGGCATGGTGGACAGCATAACTGGGCGCACAGAAGGCAGGAGGCCCATCAGCACACATAAGCTTTGTTCACCATACTAGACCAGTCTAAAATGAATAGGGCCTCCCAATCCAGAAAACGGAACCAGTTGTACGCCAGATGGATTTGTGTAAAGACCCTCCTGGTCACAGTTACCACCAGCTCCTCCAGCAGGAGCCAAATGTCCAAGAAAGCCCCCAAATTACATACCAGTTCTGTGGAGGGGAGGATGACCCCATCCAGGACTAAAGGTGGAGAGCCCCAGTCAGGGGACCCTAAAGCCCACAGCAACTCCGTCTTGTTAGGGTTGAGCTGAAGCCTGCTTTTCCCCATCCAGACTCCCATAGTTTCCAGACACTGAGAGAATCTTGATGGCATCACTTAGTCAGCCTAGGGTAAAGATGTATAACTGGGTATTATCAGCATATTGATGATGCCTGATCCCATGCCAACAGATGGCATTGCCCAGCACGTTCACATAGGTGTTAAATCAGAGTAGAGAGAGAGTAGAGCTCTAGGACTTTGGGCTAGATCTCTCCCCCCCTACCAAAACTGACTGGCAACACCCATGGAGGAAGGAGGAGAAGCAACATAAACTGCAACTCCCATTCCTAAAGCTCAAAGTCAGCCCAGAAGGATACCATCATCAATGGTATTGAAAGCACTAAGAGATAAAGAAAGGCTAGGATGAATTTTATTTATTTATTTATTTATTTATTCAATTTCTATAGCCACCCATCTCAATCCAAGTGACTCTGGATGCACTACCTCCATCCCAGTCTCAGCAGAGGTCATCTAAAAGTGTGATCAATGCTGTCTCAGTGGTCTGAAGAAAGGTCCAGATAGTCCATTTCATCCAGCACCCCCTGTAGCTGCAAGCCAACCATCTTTTCTTCAGCCCTCCCCAGGAGACTCACCCAGATCTGCAAAGAAAGAATCACACAGGTGTAGTTTGATTCAAGAAGGGCCTGCATCAGAGCCCCAGGGAAAACCCTAAGCTCCTTTCAAACTCTAGAGTTAACAGAGGGATCTGACCATATCAAGAGATTCTTTGTGATATCACCCAATTCCAGATCACATCACTACTGTCCCAAGATCAAAACAAGGTCTAATGAGTGGCCACTATTGTGAGTTGGCCCCATAACCTTCTGGGTTAGGACATGGTGGCCATGAACTCCTGAGCCGTCTTGGAATCCATTTCCAGAGAAGTCAATTAAAGTTGCCCATTCCACTTGTTTGGGGAAGTCCAGCACCAGCCCAGACAGCTCAAGGAGGCCAGACTAGTAGCTGCAGTCCCATTTGATCCTTCTGGCCTAATCTCACTGGCAGAGCCAGCAGGGAGGGGCGTAGGGGTTGGGGCCAGAAGCCTGCTGCACCCTGGAGTGACTTGCAGATACGAATTCCACTCTCATCTCAATCAGCATCAACTGTTTTCTGTCTTCTTTTTAATTCTCTATATATACCCCGCTTGCTTGAGTGTTAGTAAGTATCTCATCTGCCAACCTACCTCACGTCACCTTTTTCAAGGGGCGATGACCAACAGGTAAAATCACTGCGATAGTCTAACATGGAGCAACAGAAATCAGAAAATCTCCACTGCAGCAGGTGGACAATGTTTTTTGTAACCACACTTTTAAAAACAGTTGGTATCCACAGGAGTGGTAGAGACGTAGTGACCTGTTTGGAAGCAGTGAGGCTGGATTAT